TCTAGTGGACCAGTGGAGAGGCTTTTCAGGCTGGGCAATCTAGTGTTAACTCCAAGGAGAAATAGACTGTCTGACAAACGATGTGAGAGACTCCTCCTAATGAGATATAACCACTGGTTTACTGATAAATAAGAAACTTTATTTATTTATTTATTTAGTTAGTTATTTACCATTTAAATATTTTTCCTCATTTAAATTTGTCTTAATTTTGTAATGTTAGAAAAAAGCCAGTCTATTATTTTCCATCCATCCATTTTCTGTGACTGCTTATCTTATTTAGGGTTGTGGGGGGTCTACAGCCNATTTAGGGTTGTGGGGGGTCTACAGCCGATCCTGGACGATATGGGTGCAGGACAGGGAACAACCCAGGATGGGATGCCAACCCATTGTGGGGCACATTCACACACATGGGCAATTTGGCAACTCAAGTTAACCATATTTGTGGACTGTGGGGGGAAACCCCACAATGACACGGGGGAACATGCAAACTCCACACACATGGAGCCTTGGCAGAGACTCAAACCCGGGTTCCGGAGGTGTGAGACAACAATGCTAACTACTGCACCACTGTGTCACCCTACTGTTTTATTTATTTATATTTTATTTTGGGGCAATTTATATTTACACTATGTGCTGTTAGAAAGCCCAGCTTTTATTTTTATTTTAGTTTTTATATATTGATATAGTTTTATTTTGAGGCTTATAGCCTGATGTCAGTGCTGCCTTCACTGGCCTGTTTGAAACGCATGAAACATGCAGTGAGTCTTGTTCTGTGAAGTGCTCTTTTGACTGGTTTTCATCCCCTCTGAAACCATTCTGTTGCCTTTCTTCGCTTTATTAATGAACATAAAATAAAGAATTTCTAAATATCATCCTTATTAAAACTGGGAAAATGATATGTTGGTATATATAAGGTTTAGTGATATAGGCTATTAGTGACTGGCAAATAAAACAATGCATCACTGCAAAGTAGGGCTGTAACAGTACATACTGTACATTCGTTCCGAACCGTCACGGTACATGGGTCACGGTTCGGTACATGATGTCGTCCGGAGAAGACGCGATTAAAGCAATGCGGAACTAAATTTACAAGCGTGAGTTTCATACGGAAACATTAAATAGTGACCTTTAAAAAGTTTAGCTTCAAGCTGTTTCGCATCTCGTGAAAGCGCTCATAGCATGGCTACTAAAAACGGTACAGATGAGCTGGAAGACCCGCCTGCGTCTTTTAATTCAAGCGTGTGGGATTATTTTGGGTTCCCAGTGAATTACAATAGCAATGGAGAGCGAATCGTAGATCGGACAAAGACAGTGTGTCGGCGTTGCTCGGCACCTGTAGGGTATGTGTGTGGAAACACATCAAATATGATAACGCATCTTCAACGGCATCACCCAGATGTGAAAATAACCACCGGAGCGAGGAAAAAAACGGAGTCCAACTGCTGCTCCCGGCAGTTTTTAAACAGCTTCTAGATGCCAGTGCAGACAGAATCAAAAAAATTACAGAAGCAATTGGCATTTATATTTCATCAGCTATGCAGCCTTATGCAGTGGTAGATGACCCCGGCGAACTGCTGTCTACTTCGCTCTAACAGAGCGGGCCCTCAAAAACAAGGAGATTGCCAACCTGTGTGACCAAGAGGTCAGTGTAGAGGAGAAGGTGATAGAGATTATGAAGCCTTTAAGACCATCACTACAATACTGAGCACTGAAACAACACCATCAGTTTCAATGATCCTACATCTCAAAACAATGATCCTAAAGTCCATGGAACAAAATGATGACGACACTCCTACTGGCAGAGAAATCAAGCAAGTCATCAGTGAAAACGTGCAAAACAGATACTCTGACCCTGCTCTTCAGGACTTTCTTCACAAGTGCACTGCTCTTGATCCAAGATCAAGAAACTTCCTCATTTGGATCCTGCCTGTCATCAAAAAATCTATGAAAATCTCATCACAGAAATTCCAAGCAATACAGAACAGGTATGTATTATGTATTTTATATTAAAGTTGATATTTTATATGGAAATACCTCATAATTATCTCTCCTGTCCTAATTGACCTAACTAATTATCACTATCTTTCTATTTGTGATTTAACACTCTAGGATGTGAGTGAATGCACTACATATACCAGCCCATCAACTGCACAGGCCAGTCCAGCTCCAGTGACATCACAGCCAGCATCTTCCCCTCCTACAAAGACGTCAGCCTTCGCTGAACTTTTTGACCCACTTTTTCAATCTGGTCAGAGGAGTTAAGCCTGACTTGAAGCAGCAGTTGAGGGAGGAAGTGCTTGTCTACATGGCAAAAGAATGTGTTTCAGTCGATTCCAACCCACTTGTCTGGTGGAAGGTTCATTAGTGTGTTTATCCTAATCTGGCCATGATGGCAAAATGTTTTCTGGCTGTACCTGCCACCTCAGTCCCCAGTGAAAGGGTTTTTTCAACAGCAGGTGACAAAGTAACTGCCAGCTGATCTGCCCTTGCAACAGACAATGTGGACAAATAAATTTTTTTGAAGAAAAACTTAAAAATAAAATCTGAAGTCTGAGCACCTTTCAGAGGTATATAATTGATTGATACAACAGTCAATCACACAGTTAATCACAATTTGTTTTACTTAAATGAATAATACTTGAATTAATAACTTCATTTTGTTGTAAAATATTTTGTAAAATGTTTTTTTAGTGCATGTTTTCACTGTGCGTTTGTTTGCTGTTTTTACTACATAGTAGATGAAAATGTGAAAATATTCTTGTGCTTTATTTTTGTAAAAAAGAAACTAAAGTTGCCAGTTGGCAAAAGAATGCCATACCTGCCACCTCACTTACTTTCTATTAGGTAAGACTAATATTAATTACTAATTTCTATTAATAACACAAGATGTTTCAGTTGTTTTTTGTCATCCATACATGAAAATATAAGCAAGAGTGTGTGTTTACTGGTTAATACACTGCTGTTTATTTAAAATAAATGAAAACAAACCAAGCCACATGCTTTAGAATTTTTTGTTACTTAACTTTGCTGTATCGGAACCGTACCGAACCGTGATGTCAGAACTATAGTGTGAACCGAACCGTGACCTTTCTGTACCGTTACACCCCTACTGCAAAGTAATGCAAAAGTAATGTAATGAGTAGTGTAACTAATTACTTTCCACGGGGAGTAATTAAGAACAAGCAATGAGTAATACGTCATACGTTATTTTTAATGCTGACCCCAACACTGGTGATGAATGAGGTCAAGATTCAGATTTTTATTTGTCACATGAATGAATGTCCTGTTACACCAGCAGTGAGATGAAATTGCTGCTACTCCAGACTGTGCAACAATTTTTAAATTGAAATTAGCCGGGACCCCCTCCCTCTCAATGAATTTTATGCCAAGATCTCAAAATTCCAGAATAGTGTTGCTTTTGAAAATACTGTATACCACAGTATATTGTCTGGAGGTTTGAAATATGAGATATGGCCCAAGCCTACTTCTTAGTTAAATTTTAATGTGGCAAAATGAACAATAACAAATTTTTTATTTTTTTTTGTGTCCTGTCCAGCAGCTTTAGCAAGCAGAATCATGGTCTGAATGCACTGCTGTGCCAAACATATTTGCTTTACCACGAGGGGCTCTCTAAACTCTGTATAGGCCCCTCATGTTGGTCAATTTCTTTTTATTTGTATATTTATTGTATTTCATTTTTAACACATGTACAATATTTCAGTTGCCAAGCTGCCTGGCAGGGAGTGATAGATTAGGAGGAAAATGAGTGAAGAAAAGGAGTAGGGAGAGAGATTACAAAGGAGAAAAGAGAAGAAAAAAACAAAAAAAACAATAACGAACTTAAATACTTAAACACTAAACTGCACTATATATGCAATGTTCTTGCAGTGAGAAACATATCAAACAATATACTGTAGATTTAATGTGGAAAACAACCTTCTGCTCACTCTACCAGCCTATTATCACTGCCAGCCTGTTATCACTCTACCAGCCTATTATCACTCTGCCAGCCTGTTATCACTCTACCAGCCTATTATCACTCTGCCAGCCTGTTATCACTCTGCCAGCCTGTTATCACTCTACCAGCCTGTTATCACTCTGCCAGCCTAACATCACTCTGCCAGCCTAACATCACTCTGCCAGCCTAACATCACTCTACCAGCCTATTATCACTCTGCCAGCCTGTTATCACTCTGCCAGCCTGTTATCACTCTGCCAGCCTATTATCACTCTGCCAGCCTAACATCACTCTACCAGCCTATTATCACTCTGCCAGCCTAACATCACTCTACCAGCCTATTATCACTCTGCCAGCCTAACATCACTCTACCAGGCTATTATCACTCTACCAGGCTATTATCACTCTGCCAGCCTATTATCACTCTGCCAGCCTATTATCACTCTGCCAGCCTAACATCACTCTACCAGGCTATTATCACTCTGCCAGTCACCTCTTGTAGCAATAAAAGGTCATTTTCAGCACTAAAGTTTGTCAAGAACCGACATGGGATTTTCACCCAGAGAACCGCCGACTCACTGGATGTTTTTTGTTTTTCGGCCCATTTTCTGTAAACCTTAGGATGGTTGTGTGTGAAAATCCCAGCAGATCAACAATTTCTGAAATACTCACACCAGCCCGTCAGGCACCAGCAAACATGCCACATTCAAAGTCACATAAATCACCTTTCCTCCCCATTCTGGTGTTTGATGTGAACATTACCTGAAGCTCCAGACCTGTATCAGCATGATTTTATACAATGTGCTGCTGACATATGATTGGCTGATTAGATATTTTCTTCAACAAGCAGTTGAACAGGTGTACCTAATGAAATGGCCAGTGAGTGTATGTTGCATATGAAGCTGCCCCCCCACAAAAAAATAAGGTGCATGACGCCCCTGCATGGAGGGAACCACTGTAAACACGGGGAGAACATGCCAACAGCACACATGGGAACTTATACACAGACTTACTTAGGGATGAAACCATGATGACCAGGAATGTAACTCCAGTTATTCCTGCTATGATGGTATGTATTTTCACTATTATTTCTCTGTCTTGTAAATATTTTGTCCAAACCATAACGTTGACGCCTGAAACGAGAAGAAGACAGTGAGCAAACATAAAATTAATTTCAGACAGAGAATACAAAACAAATGTGTTGAGTGTCCTGTGTTTAAGGCGTTGCTCTTAATTTGAAGGTATAAATAAGGTAACAAAAGGTAACCCAGGGTGCTGGGGGCAGGGGAGCTTTAATGCACAGGCTTAATCAGGGGCCTACACTAAATAAGGACCAGCCCCCCCACTGACCCAGACAAATACAGCTTTAATGACAACAGCAGTGGGCAGGATCACTGGGGGCCTGGAGCCTCTCCCAAGCAGCACAGGGCAGAGGTACAGCTTGGATGGGAGGCCATACACACACAGTCACATGCTATGGGCAACTTACAGACACCAATTACCCTGAGAGGGAGACTGTGGGCTGCTGGAGGAAACTGGAGTAGCTGGTGGAGACTCACATGACATGGGGAGCACATGCAGACTATACACAGACACAGAGGAGGGGGACTCAAACCCACATGACACGGGGAGCACATGCAGACAGCATACAGGCACAGAGGAGGGGGACTCAAACCCACAGGACATGGGGAGCACGTGCAGACTGTACACAGACACAGAGGAGGGGGGACTCAAACCCACATGACATGGGGAGCACATGCAGACTGNACTCAAACCCACATGACATGGGGAGCACATGCAGACTGCACACAGACACAGAGGAGGGGGACTCAAACCCACATGACATGGGGGTACATACAGACTGTACACAGACACAGAGGAGGGGGACTCAAACCCACATGACATGGGGAGCACATGCAGACTGCACACAGACACAGAGGAGGAGGACTCAACCCCATATGACATGGGGGTACATACAGACTGTACACAGACACAGAGGAGGGGGACTCAAACCCACATGACATGGGAAGCACATGCAGACTGCACACAGACACAGAGGAGGGGGACTCAAACCCACATGACATGGGGAGCACATGCATACTGCACATAGACACACAGAAGTGGGACTCAAACCAGCAGCCTGGAGGGGTCAGGCAGCAGTACTGATCAGTGAGCCACTGTGCTGCCCCGTGGATACAGATTAACAGTGAACAGAACTGCATTATAAAATTTTTATTACGTTAATCGTCACACATTTCTGTGTTTAAATACAAAGTATATAAAATAAATCTCTATGCATAATTCTAGTCCAATATTCCTGAAATCTATTTATAAACATACTCACTTCGGAATATAACTAAAAAGATTAACATAAATATGATTCCACCAAACACTCCTCCAAATGTTGCTTTCTCAGCTGGAGATGGGGAATATTTCACTGAGAACTCAATGAAAGAACCTGAAATGAGGTAATAATAGTCAGTCAACAAGTAATTAATGTTAGACACAAGAAAAAACAAATGCATTCAGTGGTTCATTTGTGTATCAGATGCTTTTGTCTAAAGTAACGTGTAAGTAAAGATCAGACAACAGGATCAGCCTGCGGTTAAGTTCTAACCCATAGAGTCACACAGGTTAGGAAGCAGATTAATAAGGGTCATGAAAAGTCAGTGAGGGTGTTTGGCTGGGAGACATTATTCACCCTAAATCATGCTTCCAAACAGTTATAAAGCCACAAGCACAGGGGAACCAAATGAGCCAAACAGCCTGTATGATTCCATCCAGGTAAGTGGATAAGTGTGACCCCAATGAGCACATATGAAGGCAGAGTGATGGGCTGCAGTCAGGCCTTCTGTGAAATTCCAGGGCATGAGGGACACACAGGGATCAGGAGCTGGATCCCAATGGAAGGTGAGGGGCCAAAACAAGTCACTGATTCTTGAAACTTTGGCAAAAACATGTCCCACTAACAAACCACAAAGTTTTTGTTGGAAATTAATAACTTTTTCATGAATAAAAAGAATCAAGTTATTATTATCCACAGACACACAGTCCCTCTAAGCTCTGTTTTAAGGTTTGCTTGGGTATGTTGTGTATATGTGATTACAACTTATTACAGTTTTTTCCAATCATTTTAACGCGTCTCAATACCATGTCCACTTTTCCACACCACTT